TTAGGGGGTGATCCAGTTGCACCATCTTTACCGTCTGGATCGTTGCGTGATCCATCTGATCTTGAAAATCATGAATTAGAGTTTGATTCAGTCGAACCTGATCCTGAGCCTTTAGCTTCAGGATCTTTAGATAACTTAGGTTCTGAGTTTGAACAAAAAAGTGAAGAAATTAGGCTATGGGCCATTAGGAACAATGCATCTCAAAATGCATTAGACGATTTGCTTAAAACTTTGCGCGCAGAATAGGAGTTAAAGGTTTGCCGCTTTCGGTCAAAACTCTCCTAAATACAAGCAGACAAAAGGTTAGCGTTAAAAATATTCCCAATGGCGAGTTTTTATACATAGGTATACAGAAGAAGTCTTAATCGATGTAGGTATTGATGGCTTACAACTCCTTAAAAGTTCGAATCGAGTTTTGTGGCCTATACTTGGAGCTCTTTCAGACTTCCCTAATGTGAAACCATTTATGATCGCTTGTTTTTCCGGTTTGAAAAAACCGGAAAGCATTAATACTTTTATGGCCGATTTTTGCTCAGAAGTGACGTTTTTGAGAGAAAACGGGGTTAAAGTTGGTCAAAACCAAACATTAAAAAAGTTTAATGTTCGTTTATTTTCTTGCGATTCTCCAGTTAGGGCGTATGTTACAGGTATTATGTCACATAATGGTAAAAATGGTTGCCCCAAATGTTGTCAGGAAGGATTGTATAGAGATAGATGGGTGTGTTTTTTGAAAACAGTTGGTCCACTTAGATCAGATATAACTTTTGAATTGAGAACTAATACCTCTCACCATGTTGCCGAATTTAAAGAAAAAAAGAGCGTTTTGGAAGAAGCAGGTAGCAGGTAGCATATATGGGGATGAGATAGTTAGCTTCAATATCCACGGCTTGCTTCATTTGTCAGATTGTGTTAAACAGTTTGGCCCTTTAGATTTCTTTTCAGCGTACAGATTCGAAAACTATATGCAGTTCCTTAAAAAACTGGTTAACAAGCCCAATCAAATTTTACAGCAAATATATTTAAGGCTCAATGAGAGACAAGGACTTAATTCTGATTTTAACAATACTTCGATTGGATCATTTCAGATAAATCCTCTTAAAGAAAAAGATTGTTTTTGTTTTAGTCCAAAAATTGGACCTTTGAAAGCTTTTAACATTATAAAGTCATCCGAGTCAGATAAAATTCATTGTAACGCTTTTCAGACAATAGAAAATTATTTTGAGGAACCTCTTCTTTCCGCCAGTGGTCTGAGAATAGTTTTCGCTAGTAATTTAAGTTCTGAAGTCGTTGAAGTTGCTATTGAAGACATTGACTATAAGTACTTTTGTATCCCTCACACTGGAAAATTTCTTCTGATTCCTCTCTTGCACAATTTGTTTCACGATTTTTCATACAATACCGCACATTCTGTTTGAATTAAATAAAACAAAAACATAAATTTAATAAAGTTATATAATTTTACATGAGCTTCAACGTTAGCAATCTTTTTGAAAGCTCCATGTTCCAAGGCAGTCAGGAGCGAAATGGTAAGCGAAACCACTTTTCTTTGAGTTACAAACATGTTTGTAAATTTTTCTTGGCATAGATCTTGAATCAATAATTCAAAAGAGGTGCTACACGTCCACAAATGCCAATCATATGCAGGCAACCACATCTACACCAATGAGCCCAGAAATAGCTGAGGCACCTGCAGCATTCAATGAAGGTAATTTAAAATTTTCCGCTGAATTCAAGTTAATTAAATATTTTGTTTCATTTCAGAAATGATGGGAATGCTAAAGGAAATTTTAGAAAACCAAAAGGAGCTTGCAGCAAAGATGACGACGTTGGAAGCCAATGTGTGTAAATGTTTTTCATACTAAATAAATTTTTTAATTAATATGTCCTATATTTTAATAAATACCATAAAAATCCAGGTTCAAACTTATTTTAATATAATACTGTGAAAATTCGCTAAAAATTCTTATTAAAAAGTTTGAAATTTTGATGAAAACTTGCAGAATTATTCTAAACTTCGTACATAGTTTGAAATTTGGATTTTTATGGTATTTATTAAAATATAGGACATATTAATTAAAAAATGTATAAAATTTATTAACTACGAAAAACATATTCATATTCATATTTACATATTTCTAATAGCAAGTTATTATACACGCCAAGGTGGCCTTTATGGTGGAAGGGCAAGGTGCTCTGACCCACAACCAAGGAATCATCAGCGAACAAGTTGAACATATACAACAAAATGTAAGAAATAATTCTGAAAAATAAAAAAGTACATATACAGCTACGATCAAAGATTTAGCACCAATATTCCAAATGATATTGTTTGCAACTTATGTTTATTTATTTATTTTCAATAATTTTCATTGCAAATATAATTCAATCTACTTTTAACATAAACCCCATAAATGAAAGTTTAAAAGCTGACACAAATTTCTCAAATTTTAATCCAACAAAAATTAATAATTATTTAAAATAAATAAATAAGCATAAGTTGCAAACAATATCATTTGGAATTTTGGTGCCAAATTTTGGTGCTTTAAAGTTCTTTAAAAATATTTTGTAAATGAGGCCATAAGAGCTTAGGGGGAGAGTTACAACACAAAAATACATTTAAGGCGCAGCGAAGCACGCCGGGTAATTGCTAGTATATATATAATTTGCTAAATTCATAGGCCATCATTTGTCTACTTTATTAAATTGAAATTTTCAGATCAAATCAAATGCCAAATAAAAGTAAAGGGCCATTCCATTGTGAATGGTGGCAATGTGATCAATAGTGAATTATAGCTATGTCATCGAAACTTAATTTTTTTATGACGGTCTTATGCAGTTTTTTCCATATGAAAACTTTTACTTTGTATGGAAGAAAATGCGTGATACGGTCAGCAAAAAAAAAAAATATATCCAAAATTAACGTGATTTTTAAGCAACTTCGAACTTGGACTTTTTTATACTAGAATTTAGTAGGCTATAAAGCTGCATACCCAAAATTATTCTGGAAATGAAAATGCTTGGAATTGGAATGAAAAGTTTGTGGAACTTTTAAAATTTTTTTACAGTCTGAAAGTTGGATTTATATGACCTTTGTTAGACATATTAAACGAACACAATATAAATAGTCAAAACTGTTCAAAATGTTAAGGTGCTATCATTTTGTAGCGGGCTGTAAATAAATAAAAAACATATTCATCGTTTGAAGAAGGATGTACAGTACGGAAAATGAACTTTTTGTGAAATTATTTAAGCTTTTGAGAAAATGATTTGAAAAAATAGTTTTATTGGATAAAAAAAAATTAAATGACCTTCAAAAATTAGGGATTTTAAACTTTTTCCTTTTTGGCCTGAAAATAATAAAATTAAAAAAATTTAACCGCATGTTTCTATGGTCGTTAGGACCGAAAAAACACATTTTGAATTTTATTTTGAAAGTATTTTGGAATGAAAAGTTTTAATAATAAATAATATAATATAATGTAATAAATTTGAATAAAAATTTGAAAAAACAATTTCCTTCACCTTAAAAACGCCCTTTTTGACCTGCATGTACATATGTATGTAATGAAGCTAAAAAAAATAAAATGCGTTATTTTTTTGGTTCTTCCGACCACGAAAATGGATTCCTTGTCGCTATTTTCTGGTCAAAATGGGGAAACATTTGAAAATCTCTGTCCTTGAAGGTAATTTAAATGGTGAAGGAAATTTTTTTAATTTTACAGAATTTTCGATCTTATAAGCTTTAAAATACTGTTACATTTTATTCGCTAGCTGTTCTCTTGCTCGACATATTAGATTTTGTCACACAACAAGTTAATTTTCCATATTGTGGGACGCCGTAATAGAAAAAATTTAATTCAGTTAAGTGCGCAGAAATTGCAGTTAGTCCTTTTATGATATGTCAAAAATCTTTAAAATAGTTAATTGTATTTCAAACGAAATGTTCTTTAACTGTATTTACTTCTACTCTGCTGAGCAATTGTAACAAGAAAAAAATCACTTTGACAAAGTAAGGAAGCAAAGTAAATTTCAAGGCTTTATCCTCTGGATTTTAGTCCTTATATTCTGTGGCCATTATGTATTTTTATTCAATGCGGTAGGTCTAACTAAAAAACCTCGACGCTTTTTTCTCGTAGTTTTTATTCTGTTTTTAACCGACTTCAAAAAAAGGAGGAGGTTATCAATTCGACGGAATGTTTTTTTTTTTGTATGTTACCGCATAACTTTGGACCACGTCAACCGATTTTTATAATTCTTTTTTTTTAAGGAAAGGTGGTTTCTCAGAATAATTTCAAAAAATGGACTTGGCACCTTTTCACCTTTAGGTAACGATATGCATATAGCATCATGCATATATACAATAAATAGTATCTACAAATCGTCACTATGAATGCAAAAGACCCTAAATGCAACTTTTCCGAAATTCACTTACTTATTTACCAAAATTCAAAGCAAAACAAGATTTATAGGTATCTTTAGAAAGCTTTTCCTATGTAAATTTAAAGTGGTTTGCTTTCTTTATACAATTTCAAATTTGTCCAATAGGCTCTTTTGCATTGATGGTGACGATATATTCTACGCATTACAAATTGCAACTATATGTGCAATTATCGGTCAATTACTAACGTCTGTGATAATGCCTGACATCTATGTATTTCACTAGCAGAGATGTAAAAGAGAAAGGCATTAAATGTTAAACTATACAAAAATACAATGTCGTTCCCACGACAGTCGGGTCTACGTAACCGGAACGACCCAGATTTATATCTGGCCAAGGACTGTCACTCCAGCAACACTCCCCAAAAAGTCTTTGGGGAGTTTGTATGCTGTTACAACAACAACAACACAATGGAATCTATTGAAAACCCTCACAACTGTGTTTTATTTATTTTCGAGTTTTATTTAATTGTGATATTGCTATGTCGACAAACCATAAGAGCATAATACGAAGCATTTAGCTGTTTTCAGAAATGCATCAAACCCATGCATCGGTCTTTTATTTCGAAACTATAATTGATAGAAATCTCTTATTAGCGCAACGAAGTTTGAATTAGGCATTTAATCGTAGTTCTGCATATTGAACATCTCCATCAATTACACATAGCTAAGAGATAAAATAGACTGATGCTTTGGCCTGATGGATTTCTTAATACTAGGTGTACTTCTTTTAAGTAAGTACATGTGTAAATGAATATTTTATTTAAAATTTAAAACTTCTATTTATTTTCTGATTTTGCTCGTACATATATGGAATCTCCCAGCCCACTTTTCTCCTTTCTATTTTTTATGGAGTGCCACAAATTGAAGGTCTTCTAACTTTGGTACCCATAGGAGTGCTTTCAAAAGGGCTTTTGGAGTGCTTCTAAAGCTGCTTCTTTAATTCATAAAAAGCAAGTTTTTTACATATTTAAGGTTCATATTAAATATATTTTACTAAAATTAAAAATGCATCACGAAATTCATTTATAATGCTTAAGGTTTATAAACTATATAATACAATGTTATATGTACATTCGCGTAAATGTAAACAGAAAGGCATGCAAAGAAACATTTTAGCATTGCTTCACTTGACAAGGCCTACCTACATTATGGTTCGAATACGGATAGCATCGAAACCTCAGTTTGATTGTCATATGGCAAATATAGTTAAGTGCTATAAAGTGTAAGATAATATAATTTAGTAGTCTAAAAAAGGTGCAGCAATAATTGAAAAAATAAATACATTGTCTCAATCAAAAATTCTGCGGATTTAATTTAACTATTTTGTTAGCGAGGAATTACTCGAGTTTTAAGGCAGTAGATAGAATTCTTAAGACAAAGCTGAAACAATAGAAATTTGGATCTAAGATCCATGTACATATACCAATGACAAGCATATATACTAGTTCCTTTTTTTAAAGCTTGAAAGTACTTTTAAGTCACTGCGGAGAAATCACTGAGAGCAGTGATGAAGAATAGTTTCATCTATACCGACCCAGTAGATAAAAGTTTTTGCTAACAAAGAATATAGGATATAAAGATGCTGGATCTGTCGACCCATTCCTCTATCTAGGTACTATATCGAGAGGCTTAGTCCATTACACAAACGCTTTTTAGCATAAATACGAATATAAATGGATGCTATGGCATTTTGGTGCGGTTAAACTAGCCGAAGATTGTTACGTAATCAAACCGATATGAAACTTCTTTATATTATACGTATGTATGTGCATATTTCGCTCATACTATTTTGTCGTTTAACATAATTAAATCTTATGTATACACTGGATGTTCCACTCATTTCATATTTAATATATACATATGTATGTATGTATATACTAGTTATAATTTGTATTTAAATAAAACAATTTAGAGAATATAATTTTTGACCTTTTATTTGCAAATAGATTGCAATCCAAATTTCTATTTTCGTTTTAATTATCACCGTAACGGCTGTGTTCACGAAATTGGACCTCTATTTTTAATATTTTTTTCAGCCGGTATTTAGAGCATAATAAAACCGTTATTTTTATTTGTACGTACTTTTAAGTTAATATAGTATTAAAACAGGTAAATAGAACGCAAGTAGCTACGCTCGATTTATTTATTAATTATCAAGGATTCGCGAGAAAACAAAAATAATAATTAAAAACAGAAAACTTCAAAATAAAGATTTGCATATCCCAAAAAATACCGATCATTTTCGGTACCTGGCTAAAAAAAAATAAATTAATTTTGCTGTCTTTTAAAATACAAGTAGTTATACTAAATCGGTTATATATGTACAATTTTTAAGAATGACTAATGCTTTTGAAAATTTTTAATCTACTAAAATTAAGATGGCCGCAAAACCTAATCTGGAAATCACATACAAAGGCATACAAATACATTAAAATTCTGTAATATGTTTAAGTAATCCCTTTTTTTATCCTTTTGACCAGAATTTTTTTGCACAATTTCCATATAATTGCACCCAATAACAATGTCGCAGTCGCCATGTAAATATTGTAGACATGCTGTTGTGGCAGCATATTGCATTTTAACACAGAATAAGTACTCGCACTAAATGAAGCCTGTAGAAAGGAGTAGAAGGTAAGAAAAAAAGAGTACAAACATTGAAAATATAAAATGTTTCGCCATACCATTAAGAAGCTTGGCTCAACTTTATTACGCCAACTAAAGGAAGCTACTGTATACTCTTCAACACCAAAACGATTAATGCTGAAGCAATAGTGATGACTATGACCAGCAAAGGCAACGCGTGGTAGGAGCAGGCGACCTAAATTATATATTGGTGTATTAGACGTAGGCAAAATACCTACTATGCAGTCTCACTTAAAAATAAAATAATGTGTCACCTATTAAATCGGTAGATTCCTTTGAAAGCACCTCCCAGTTTTCACGAAATAACTCTATATTGGGTGCATCATGTTCCCTGCATACTGCATCCGATTTTCGATAGGTAGGAAAGTGTTGCATCAAAATCGGACGACTGTAGGTTTTGTGCACCTTAAGCGCATGGATGTCGGTGCATGTTTCCCGGTTTTTTAGACATGTTAATTGTGCTGCAATGCATTATTAGTAGTTTTCAAACAAAATTTCTTGTAACAAAAAACTTCAAGATGTGTAATTATGTATATATTTACCTGATATTTTATTTAAATCACGCAAAGCTGTGTTACAGAAGCTACAGCCATCATTTAACATTGCCATCGAGTTGATCATTACAAAATGATTTCCTTTGATTGTGTACATTTCCACACCACTGCTATTGAAGTGTTTTGAAAAACGCTTAATAAAATAACCGCCCATTCTATAAGAATATTTGTGAATAAGTTCAATACATTAAAAAAAAAAACAACTGCTTTGTACTTATAATGGAATCCGATATCATGATTACCCACAGCACTAATAATAGGAACGCCGGCTGGTGTGCTGAAAAGGCGATGAAATCGTTGTACATAATGTTCAAAATCACTATTATTAACAAAGTCGCCCTCATCGAAAAGGTCACCCAACACGAAAACGACATCGGGTTGGAAGAGTCTCATTGCAGCCTATAATATAATAATTACTTTAAAACCTTTATTAAACAAGTAAAAGCACATTTTACCTGAAAACTCCGATGCATATGCCATTCTCTGTACAGCCGATCTAGCCAGTGGCCACGTATTGGACCCAGTAGATGTGTATCGGCAACTATAACAGCCCTCAGCTCCTCCTCATTTCTATTTTTAATGATTTTATGTGACAGCTTTGGCCAATTGCAAAATGAAAGCTGAATAAAATCCGCCAAAAACTCACAGTACAGAAATGTTAACAAGGCAATGCACCCAATTTTTGTCCGCCAGTGCATTTTTAGTTCTTACATTTCTTGCAAATGAAACAAATTGGCAAACATTTTTAAGTAAACAATAGCAAAACAAGAACAATTTCAGTCGTCGGCACTTTGTTGTTAAAAAATAACGAAAATAGTTCAAGTTAAAAAGGAGCAAAAATGATGTTTACGAATGGTTGTACGAAATAAAATGAAAAGAAAATAGAAAAGGGTGTGTAAAAATGTCATAAAAGAAACGGAGCTAACAAAACTTGGCAGCACTGACTTAACGAAACGCCACTTTCATCGTAACTGACAGTTCGGCAGAATAGCATAACCTCCAAGAGCGCAGTGAATTTTTCTAACGAGTAAAGTGCGTCTGCTGGTGAACTTCTGTTAATTTTTTAATAAAACGCTTAATTAAATTGTGTTAAATATTTGGTGCGTATTCGAAAATTGTTTTCCGAAACTTTGTGTTAAGAAATAAAGTGCGCGTTTAATTATAATATAATTAGGCGAAGAAATGTTGGTTTAGAACGCGATGGCGTGGAGAAAGTGGTGCATTTAGCAATGGCGGCTTGATAGCCAGTGAACAAGTACCAAATTCTGGCGCAAAATTCTTTTGGGGGAAATTAATTTAGTCAAATGTAATACCAAATTACCAAAAGAATAAGTACGTTTTAGCTGCTGGGTCCTGAGTTCTGAATTTAGATCAAAGGAAAGGTCAAGCAAAATCATTTGATAGGCAGCTGCAGTGGTTGGAAAGAGGAGGGGGCCCCTTATAGTACAGTCGCCGTGATGAAAATAGGCAGTATTGTGCGCCCATGTTTTTGAGGGTATCAAGGGATCACGTTCGCAGGGCGATGCCAGACTTGACGCATAGTTGCGAAATTTCAGTACCTTCGTTAACTTTTTTTTCACCACAGTAGATAGAATAAAATTTGTTTAGATACATATCGCTAGCTTAAGAGCGAAATACACCACACAAGCGGTTTGACAAACCAAGCGAAATTTCCCTTTGCTTCAAGCCATTTGTGCTGTGTATGGGGGTGTTTGAAGGTTTGACGGCGGTTTGTCAAACCTTCAAACACCCCCATAGACAGCACAAATGGCTTGAAGCAAAGGGAAATTTCGCTTGGTTTGTCAAACCGCTTGTGTGGTGTATTTCGCTCTTTAGAGTGAAAAATTGTGTAGTCGAGTTTTTAATTTTAAAATTTTACATGAGAAAATAAATAAATATCATTCAATAGAAACAGTTAGAAATAAAATAGGTAGTTATGGGTAAATATTTGTATCATAGCTAGTTAGATCTTTTCGAAAGCGATATATTTTTAATTGATATTGCCTCTTGAATCAAAATATAAAAATAGTGGACTTAGGCACTTTTCATTCTGAGCCAGCGGTACGTAGCTATTTTCCGAGGGTTATTGTATATCTATATTTAAAAAAGAAGGTATTGGCTGATTATACGAAAGTCGATTATAAAGTCTGTATAGGCATCTAGTATAAACAATATGTAGGCGTAGATTATTTTCAAAATAAATTTATGTGGCTACCTATTTAGAGAAATAAGTTAAGTTATAGAAACATGTATGATTGATAGTAAGATACATACATATATTGTAAAGGGGTAGCACTTCTTTTTCAATGCTTGCCGCCACAGAAATATTTGTACAATTACATACATTTATGTAAATTGGCCCTATCGATAAGGCCGCATTAAATTCACGTAGATACATATATTATTGTATATTAACATATTGCTTATAATAGGTTAAATATCTATATTTTAGGTCGTGTAGCAGTGTACAATGGCAACGAAATCAAAACGCGCCGGAACAGCCACGCCCCAACCGCAACCAGGCGGCACATCTACGCCTTTGATACCCGGCGCTAATCGCTCCGCTAGCCCACTGAGTCCTACGCGACATTCGCGTCTTCAGGAGAAGGCTGAATTGCAAAATCTAAACGATCGTTTGGCATGCTATATCGACCGTGTTCGTAATTTGGAAACTGAAAATGCGCGTCTATCCATTGAAGTGCAGACCACGCGCGACACAGTCACTCGTGAGGCTACCAATATCAAGTCTATGTACGAAAATGAGTTAAGTGACGCGAGACGGTTGTTGGATGAAACGGCACGGGAAAAGGCCAAATTAGAGATTGACACCAAGCGCCTTTGGGATGAAAATGAGGAATTGAAGGCAAAATTAGACAAGAAAACTAAAGATTGCTCATTTGCCGAAGGTATGAGAATATCCATTCTTATCATAAAAATGTGACTTATCAATCAATGACAAGCGTTTTGCGTTTACTTAGTATTTTTATTAGATTATATATAACAACATAAAATGTATAACGTCGTTTAAAGTGCAAAACCGCGTATCAACAAAACCGCGTATGTGAGATTGCATAAATTATTCTCTAGAGAGTAAAAACACTAATATTTCAAAATGGTTATCTTTTTTATAAAGCAATCGCATTCCTGGCTAGTATATTTCAGAACGAATGGATAAGGATTGAGCCAAGATCTTGTGTGAGCAAATCCAATTTTTGGCAGCCAATGTCAGTTAGGCGGTTTTTCAGAATGACGATACGCGGTTTTCATTTCATTTCATTTATTAAACAAATTCATTAGTACAATAAGATCTCAAAGTTCTTTTATAGTACAACAGTAATTATAAAGCACAAACATAAAGCAAAGAAAGGAAAACAATAAGTAAAACCAAATATAAAAAATAAAAGAAAAAGAAAAATGCAACTAATTCTTTTTGTACTTTAAACGACGATAACTTAAATTTATTTCCCTTTAGGTAATGCTCGTATGTATGAATCACGCGCTGCTGACTTGAGTAATAAATACAATGCCGCCAATGCTGACCGCAAAAAGGCTGTGGATGAATTAAATGAAGCTCTCAAAGAGCTGGAGCGTTTGCGCAAGCAATTAGACGAGGCGCGCAAACTACTGGAGGATGAAACTCTGGCTCGCGTTGATTTGGAGAATAACATACAAAGTTTACGCGAAGAATTGACATTCAAAGATCAAATCCACATACAGGAAATGAATGAAACACGCTCACGTCGTCAAGTAGAAATTAGTGAAATAGATGGCCGTTTGACCGAACAATACGAGGCCAAATTACAGCAATCTCTGCAAGAATTGCGCGACCAATATGAGGGTCAAATGCGTGCCAATCGCGACGAGATCGAACTACTGTATGAACAAAAGATTAAAAACTTGCAATCGGCAGCAAATCGCAATTCAAGTGCTGCTTCGAGTGCTATAGAAGAGTTACGTTCTACGCGCACTCGCATTGATGCGCTCAATTCGCGCATTGGCGAATTGGAGTCGACAAACAATGCACTGACTGCACGCATACGAGAGCTGGAACAGTTGTTGGACCGTGAACGTGCACGTTATAATGCGGATATTGCCAATTTGGATGCAGAATTGCAGCGTTTACGGGACGAGATGGCACTACAATTACAGGAGTATCAAGATTTGATGGACATCAAGGTAAGAAGCGGACGATTTAGTTTAATAGTCCACATATTTTAACGTGAATTTCTTGTAGGTCTCATTGGACTTGGAAATTGCCGCCTATGACAAGTTGTTGTGCGGTGAGGAATCGCGGTTGAACATCACACCACATACATCTACCGCTTCCGGTTCCTTCAGTCAAAGTTTACGTGGCACACGCGCCACGCCAATACGCAAAACACCATCACGTGGCGCTTCTACAGTGCCGCTTAAACGAAAACGCACAGTCATCGATGAATCAGAGGACCTCAGTCAATCTGAGTACTTTGTAACTGGCAGTGCAAAGGGCGATATTGAAATTTCTGATGTTGATCCGGAGGGAAAATTCGTAAAATTGCATAACAAAGGTAACAAGGAGTTACAAATCGGCGGTTGGCAATTAATTCGTACCGCTGGCAGCAATGAGACCTCATTCAAGTTCCATCGCACGGTCAAAATTGATGCCGGCGCTGTGGTAACTGTATGGTCTTCCGATGCTGGCGCGACACACGAGCCACCAACTAATATAGTAATGAAAACACAAAAATGGTTTGTTGGCGATAACATGAAGACATCACTGTTCAATGGTGACGGCGAAGAAGTAGCTGGCTCAGAACGTCTAAAACGCACAATCGTAACGCATTCTTCACGTCATCGCGCCTATGGCGGCCGTTTAGGCATCTCGTCGGTGGACGGTGTTGGCCATGAGGAACTTTACCACCAACAAGGTGATCCACAGCAGGGAGATGAAAAGTGTCGTCTCATGTAAATGTGTAGTTCGAAAGGAAAAAAAATGTAACACTAACAGCCAATTTCACGAAAGCAATTTAAGTGAAAAATGATTTTAATTTTTTGAAATTTCTATGGAAATTGACAAAATAAAAAATCATTTTCAATTTAAATTGCTGGTGAAACCGGCTGTAAATGTAAAATTACTACAAAAGATTACTATAATTTTCATATTTTTTAATTGTAATATCGTAAATTGGAAAGCAAAAAAATGTTTTAAGCAATACTGCAAAAGAGCGCATACCAAGAAACGTCAATTGATAAACACAATAACACTAACCCATTATCATCTCACCCAATAACTCAACCTAGTACATGCAATATTACATAGCATAACGAAATTCCCGCTTCATACATACATACCACATCACCGTACAAAACGCATCGTCTGTTTTTCCAGCTGCTGCTATAATTTTTTCACTACTTGCCACACATTTGGAATTTATTTAATATATGTGCAGTTTCTGAAATACTTGCTATCCCGTTTTTTCTTACATAATGGGGCAGTTAACTATAAAATAGTTTTTAATTATAATTGCGATAAATAAGTCATATTTTATTTTATTAAAATGACATTTAAATAGCTGCTGTAGTATTCATCTAATTATGCTCTACTCTTATAAATTAAAAGCAGAATCCTACCACTTAAGCGAAAGAGTAATAAAACACATGTTGAGTAATAAGAAAACAAAATTTGAAAGGAAACAAAGATGTATTAACGGTCGTCGCAGTTTTTAATGAATCATACAATTATCAAAGAGTACAAGGAAAGCAATTGAGTTTTTCTGCCATAACTAACAGTATACATACATACATTTATTTTTTTTCTTGCATTGAAAATGTACAAATTTATGGTTCCAGTTTCTGGAAGTTTGAAGCTTTGAGGTACAAATAAAAAATAGACAAGAAAAAAAGACTCGAAACATTTGCAGCAAGCAGTGTATTTTTTTTTTGACACAAAATACAATAGTTGAAATGGGCAGAAAGCTTAAACTTCTTTTCTAACCCTAGATTGCGTACATTTGGAAATCAAGTTTAGGCTGAAGTAGAACGAAAGAATGTAGCGGTCTAAAAAATTTTATTAATTAATGATGCCTGCTATGTGTGGCTGGAAGCTCTGCGGCTCCCTATACACTTCGCTATGCATATTAGCCATCATTGATTTGCTTCAGAAGGAATATTTTTTGGCGCCTGTCGGCGGTCTATTCTAATTGAACCTATGAAACATGAACATATGAAAGCAAACATTCAATGTTTGAACAACAAAATTAAGAAAGTATCGTCCTAAAATCTTACTTTTAAACAAACCTTACGTCTAGTTTTAAAATCCTAAAAAAATGTAGCAAATGGAGCTTAATATGTTGAAAAAATTTTATTTTCAAAATTTTTGTACACACCAATTGTCGCTAATTTAACTCTTGAGTGTTTTATTTAATTTTTCTTCTATTTCCGACCAAATACTAATTTCCCAAAAGGTACAAAAAAGTGATCCTCCTAAAAATAAAAAGTGAAGAAAACGGTTTGCGCTTTCTTTTCGAAAGTTTTACGCGCTTTCGACAATTTTCAAACAATTTAAATAAATTACATATATCTAATTATTACGTGTATGTTTTAAAATTAATTTAATTATAGTATATTCAAAAATTAAATCAAATTATTTGTCTTTATGACCATTCACTACACTTTTCGGAAATGCATACAATTTGTATTTGCAATGACATTTATTATACACATAATTTTTTTAAAGAAATAATTTGCTGTTCTCCCTGTGTTCGTGAAAAATTTTCAATAAAACTTAAAAAAAAATATTAAAATTGTGTTTTTTCAAGCTAAAAGTGGTTCTGTGGTTAGTTTAAGGTGTGTACATAATTTTTATATATCTTTGTATAAGAGGGTGATTGTGATCTTGAAATAAGTATTGGGGGTTTTTGTTAGTTTGATATAAGGCGTTAGACTCAGATAGACTCCATTCCCTGAAGATTTTTTTATTTTAAATGGCGGAGTTGATCTGTCAAAAAAGTGTCTAAAAAGCTCTTTCGAAGTTCGAATTTCCCCCTCCCAAATTTTCGGAGAAAATGCCACTCCCAGGGAGTTAATTATTGGAGAAACAAATTCCCGGCGAACAAATTGGGCTGATAGGATTCGTCGCTTCTAGTTCTGACGGATCGGTAGATAATCTATCTATTATGTGAACGTTCATCGTGTGTTGAATTAGGTAATGCCAAGTCCTAGCTATGTAGACGATTGCACGATTATAGCCACGTTACCAAACATCGACAGCCTTGTGGTAAAATCACTGGATGTCTCTCCGATCTTTGAAACATCTGCATTGCCAAGAACTTCGATGTCTCTGCCACAAAAACCATCACCAAACTCTCCACAACATGGCAATCAGTCTAATGTTCTGGGGTTTACGTGCGGTAACCCTTTTTTCTCAGCGCATAAATTCGCCATTTGTAAAAAACTATGTGCCAGGAGCAAAGTTTTCTAACAGATAAGCGGCAGCATTAGAGAAGCCGATAAAGAGCGTTTCGTAGTGGAGAAATCTGCCAAATCGCCAGAACGCAACTCTGCGGAAGGCTACAGGCTGCCATCTTATGTCGCCCGATCATCACCTTACTAAAGAAACCCGGATGCTGGCGGATAAAGAACACAACGCGCTATTATAGAATCAGCTCCGCATGGTACATATGTCACCGTGGGATTTATCCCAAACATGCTCTATTTCGAAACAATCAGCACCCACCAACTCGCCGAATTGCAACTGGTCGACTGGAGAACGGACATAGAGGCGTTCAACGAATCACGATATAAAGCGGCACTCAGTAAAATACATAGCGATGCTGTCAGAACGGGTCTTAGCACCCATAAGAACAACGTTGTTCTAGGTGGTCGACCGTCGCCCATCCATATTGAGGAAGCTGAATTGCCGAAAGAGATAAGCTGCATCTTAGCGCAATGCTATGCAGCCAAAAAAATATATAGGCAACACATGGGGATTGCCCAAGGTAACTTTGGACCGCGTTAACCGATTTCAATAATTGTTTTTTTTTTTTATGGGAAAGGTGTTACCTAACAGGTGGTCCCATACTAATTTGGTTTTAATCCGATTATTAGATCATGAAGAAATTACCGATAATCTTAAATTTTTAGATGAGAATTGAAGTCAGTTTTGTTTTTTGCTTAAAAATTACTTGTTTGTTCCCAAGTTCATTGACCTCAAGTACCCCGTCCGCGTACTTACTCACCAGATCCCAGTTCGTACCACCCTAATGCCAGTAAATTTAAGCTCGCTACAAATCATTAAAATTTTGCTAAGGAAGTATTTCGATTCGAAAGCAATTGTTGTGTTATTTGCTATTTGTCGTCATATCTTCAGCATTTACGGTTGGATCTAAAAGTAAGATATATAACGCAACCTCAAACTGTCATTTCGTATGTACGTTGCACGTATTTTATTTGTATTCCATTACCCAGAAATTAGCAGAACATTCAAAAACTTAGCAATCTGTTGAGTTTAGATTTTGCTTCACATTTTTTTCAGTTGCATTTTTATTGCACTGGTACAAATGGTTGTGCGAAGTTATGCGTAGTATGCATAATCAGACCTTTACGTATAATATACACCGTACACCGGGAGTGTAATCTATGCGAAGTAAATATAAAGGAGATATCGAAGCTTTCTATGAAACGACAAATTCTACAGTATCGGTCATATCTATAGCACGCCATTTCGAAGTGTTATTGTGTGCCACTTATGTTTATTTATTTATTTTTAAGAATTTTCAATTAAAATACAGTTCTTTCTCTAACAAATCCCATATAAACCCAAGTTTAACAATTTGTAGAAAACTTCAAAAAAGTGCAACAAATTTTCACCTATGTTTCAAACTTTTTTCTCGGAAGTGTTTGAATTTTTCTGAATACACAGTTTTATAGCCCAGTCAATTTTAGTCTGATAATGTGCAAGTTTCAAGTGACTGAAGGTTACCGTTGATTTTTTAGAATTTTTTTCACCAAAGGTGTTGCGGTTTTCATCCATATACAAACAAATTGAGTTTATTCATTATATGGAAGCCAATGCCACAAAAAAATTCTAAAAAATTAACGGTAATTCGTAGCCACTTGAAATTTGCACGTTATCAGACTAAAATTGCAGTGGCTAAAAAACTGTGTACTCGAAAAAATTCTAACACTTCCGAGAAAAAAGTTTGAAACTTAGGTGAAAATTTTTTGCACTTTTTTGAAGTTTGCTACAAATTGTTAAACTTGGGTTTATATGGGGTTTGTTAGAGAAAGAACTGTATTTTAATTGAAATTGATAAGTTGCACACAATATCACTTCGAAATGGCGTGCTATAGATATGACCGATACTGTAGAATTTGTCGTTTCATAGAAAGCTTCTATATCTCCTTTATATTTACTTTATTTAATTGAAAATTCTTAGCAGAAAATAAATAAACATAAGTGGCACACAATAGCCGTCATCGATTCGCCAACAGTGGGTACAACCAAACTCGCTAACGTCTATCCGTGCTAGCTAACTTTGTTGTTGCTTTCACATGCAAAATTTTTCGTTAAGCGACCGGAACTAAACATAGCAAGCAGCGAAGTGGCAAATCGATGACGGCTATTATCACTTTGAAATGGCGTGCTATAGATATGACCGATACTGTAGAATTTGTCGTTTCATAGAAAGCTTCTATATCTCCTTTATATTTACTTTATTTAATTGAAAATTCTTAAAAATAAATAAATAAACATAAGTGGCACACAATAGCCGTCATCGATTCGCCAACAGTGGGTACAACCAAACTCGCTAACGTCTATCCGTGCTAGCTAACTTTGTTGTTGCTTTCACATGCAAAATTTTTCGTTAAGCGACCGGAACTAAACATAGCAAGCAGCGAAGTGGCAAATCGATGACGGCTATTATCACTTTGAAATGGCGTGCTATAGATATGACCGATACTGTATATTAAAATCAAAACTCAGCCGACAACCGTAATGGGCAACCCAGAATGCGTTGTGGTAGTAGTACTACCGTGGTGGTAGTACCGGCGTAAATACTTATGCATAGTTGATAGCTTGCTGAGCAACAATTCTACACAAATTGACTTTCAGAATATATTTTGTGCTCACGCTGAGCACAACTGAAATAAAGAGTGCGGCGGTCAAAACTAAAATATACTACATATAAATATTTTATGGTGCTTTTTTCAACAATCTGTTTGTGAAGTCGGTTTGTGGTTTTAGTGATTGCAAATTCCTTAAGTCTGGTGCTTTTGCAAACCAAGAAATCTAAACAAAATTATCAGAGTTTTGATAGAAACTCGTAGGTACTGCCGTATACAGCATTTTTAAAGTAATATAAAAGGTAGTCGTTCGTTTACGTGAATACATATGTGTAAATAAATATGTATATGTAGGAGCATTTGTATAAAAAGTGATAGTAATATTTGCCGCTTATTCCCTAAGAGCCGTTCCTATCCACTTTTCCTGTGACATTCCATATCGAAAAAGGTCAATTACCTTGGGACTGTGTGCTCTGATGTGCTTGCAAAATTTTTTATGACGTACATGTATATGTAAATACCTATATATATATATATATGTATGTTTGTGTGAACACACTCCCATGTACATACATACAGTTGCGGTCAAAAAAATTGAATCAAAATTCAGGACAGTGGCTTTGTTTTTTTTTTTTTTTTTCTAGCAGATAATTATCAGGAATAAGAAGAGTGGGAAAATTGAGAGAATTACGCTCACGGAGAGCGAAATAAAGAAATAGTAAAGCAATGCAAAACTAGCAAGTAAACAGCTGATCGGTGTATTTGACTATCGAAAATATTTGGCGCGAATTTTCGTTTATTCATTTTGACTAGCAACTGTAAAAATTTTACTAGCATATAGTCTGTTCCTTTGAACTTCGGACTAAAACCTGTGGAACTGTCAAACTACAATTTTACTCTCTCAAATGAGAGTAAAAGGAGAACAGATGCAGAAGTGCATAGGAACGCAAAAAGCACTATTTCCTGTAAAAACGTCAGTCGGTTTGTTTACATGTCATTTGTACAACACTGATTTAGCTGAAATATCACTAAATAATTATTAAAATCTATACATATTCAAACATTTCGTTGTTTACCTCCAGTTTTTTTACAAATATAAGGTACTTTGCTTTCACCGCTGTTAGTTTTTGTCAAGTTAGTTGTTAGTTTTATATCAATAGGAACGACTTCCTGTAAGTTCTGACTAAATCCTGTAAACCGGACTGCTATTGGAACAGACTAATAAATTAGCAAGGGCTCTATTCTGTAACTGTGAGTTTTTAAGTGTACACTGAAAATAGTGTGCACTCTTCATTTTGCGATTCAGGAAGAGTGAGAATGAGTTGTAGCTGTCAAAATTGTGTACACTTCTCTTCCGAAAAACTCACTGAATTTTAATCGGTGAGTTTTTGGTTGTGAGTTTTGCACTCGGTGTACACTACATTTTATCACAATTACAGAATAGAGCCCCAGGAGAGCCACAAAAATAATAAAGCGTAAGAACGAGAAAGAGCTGCTAGTTTCTGCTTTTTTTTGTTGTTAAGAAACGCTTTTCAGCAGAAATTAGTGATAGTTTGTTATATTTATCTGTTAATAAACAAACCTGGTGTTGCTTGCAACTTATGTTTATTTATTTATTTTTAATAATTTTCATTTAAATTATGGTGTGATATAACCCTCATCAGTCCAACTCGGGCTACGCTGACCACAATATTTTTGCGCAGAACAATTCATTCAATTTAAGAGTAATAAGGTGTAAGTTTCAAGTCGCTAAATATTACAGTTGATTTTCTAGATTTTTTTTTGCCGAGGATATTAAACATTTTCTTTCATATAAAAATTAATTTTGTTGATGCGTTATATGGAAGAAAATGCCAAACACCCTCGGCAAAAAAAAAAATTAAAAAACAAGGGTTATTTTTAACGACTTTAAACTTGCACTCTATTATACAAAATTGAATGGGCTATAAAATTGCATACTAGAAAATTTTCTAAAAATTTTAAATAAAAATTTAGAAATTTTGATGAAAATTTATTAATTTTTGTGCACTTATTTGGTTTCTGACATGTCTCGAACTATATTTTAAATGAAAATTATTAAAAAAAAATAAATAAATAAATATGAGTTGCAAACAATATTAATTTGAATTCTGATGTTATTATTTTGACAACAGTTGTTATGCATATATGACATATACGGATTTTAAATTTTTCTTAAGTAATTTTTATGTGATAAGTATATAAATAGTAACAATTTTATTGATAGCAGAACAGAAGCTCTTAACTTACTTTGATTAAAAGTCATAGTCGCGTTGCAGCATTGTATATGAGTATAGAAGAGGCAATAATATTATGCATGCATATACATACATACACACATGCATGTTGCTTTATTGTGCTTCTACTTGTAATCAGACCATGCCAACTTGGCTCATGCCGTACCGTTTTACGCCGGTGGCTGATTGAGCTATTACAATTGCTTTTTTGTATTTGCTATTTGCACTACTAAATAGGAAAGAAAGACATAATCCTCTTTTGATTAAAAAGGATGGCACCTTATTTAGCACTTTTATTTTTCTATTTGGGCAAATCCAGCGAAAAGTCCACCGCGTAAAATAAAATTTAAAATCTTATATCTGATGTATATTGGAACGCCAGGATGGTGGCGCCAGGATCGAGATATTTTGAAAAACCGTATTTCTGCTTTGATTTGTTTCGCATTTGGCATATATAATTGAAACGTAGTAGGACATAGATTTGCAAAAAATGAAACCGCTGGTGGCGCTGATGTCAAAATACAAAGTACGTTCGGCATAAAATGTATGTTTTCTTCCCGTTGAAAATTCTTTCAAGAAAAATATTAACAAAACTTTTTCAATGGAAATTTTTAGTAACGTAACGCCAGGTAACGTCTACTCAGATAATTTCGCTGATTGAGCATGATGCAGAAAAGAGTTCTACATTTCAAAACTTGGAAACCTTAACCTTAAACATTTCTAATTTTACTATAAAAGATTTTAGTCTTGCCCAATTCGCAGAGCTTTGCAATTTTGTAATCGAAGTCAAAATCCATTTCCGTTTTTTGTAACGTTATGCCCAGCGCAGAAGTCTACTAATAAATATCCTTAAATCGCTGCTACCAACAGTTGTAATTTTTAACTGAATAAGGGCCCATTTAATTGCTAAGCAAATCTAGAAAAGCCTTTTAAAATTTTGACATCTTCAATTCTTTTTTTTTTTACATTTTGTCATTCGAACGTCACGAAACGCCAGTTTAGAAATACCCACAAACATATGTATTTGGCACTTTTTTATACCCAAATGGTAGCTCATAGCTAAGAATGGTTGGCAGCCCTGCCTGTAATGTGTGTAAAATATGTATGTATGCATATTTTTTTTTTACGTAGGAGATAATGCATTTACATATGTACATGCATATATTTATGTATTTATGCATAAGTTGCGCATGTGTTTTTCATTGCTTATCTCTCAAAGCTTGCACAGATCTCCAACCACTTGTAGCTGCCTATTTATTTAGCGCGTTGTTTTACTTCTCATTGCAGTTTGAAAGCTTATAATAATACATACAGTAGTGTTCAAATAAAGGTTACTACAACTATTATAAAATTAATTTACAGATATAAATATGATAAAAATAAGTTAATATAGCCACTGATTCAATATAAAAACAATTCCAAAGCGAATTCATACAAGGTGGTAGCGGAAGCCCAATAACTACACTAACAAATTATCCGCACGTTGACAATCAGAACACAAAAAATGTACAACAAACACATCCTTTTGACAATCTGCGCAATTCTCCTTGAAATCTGCTGCTCCGGTAACGCCAGCTTGTATGAATTCGCCTGAACAATCCATGATTTATTAACACAAATTTTATTCAAAAATTAGAAAATAATATTAAAGAAGTACAGTATTCCCCGCTTAATTGACTCCCGGTTAATTGATTTCCCCGCTTTTTTGAACCACCTTCTCGGTCAAAAAAATTTTGCTTACAAAATACAAGTAAATTTACCCGCATAATTGAACCCGGATAATTGATTTCCCAGCATATTTGGCTAAAAATATGTGTTATCGAAAAGAAATATACCTTTAATTTTCCCCGGTTAATTGCTCAACAAATTTTCGTTAAAAAAATAATCTGGCATTACCGCACATACGTTGGCATCTCTGATAAGAAATTGAAAAGAAAGCGGCATACAACATAAGATTCGTTAAATTGGACGACCATTGTACTTAAAATACACATATTTATTTTGTTTTAATTGATTTGGTTGCCCAATTAAGAAGGATTTCTGTAATTGCACGAGCTGTTCAATTAAACGAGTATCGGTTATTTGATTCCCCGGTTAATTGAACCAAAACTTGTGCAATTTTAGAAGTTCAATTATGCGCAGAATACTGTAGTACTAATTAAGCAGCGTAAAATTGTTCACTTTCTCTAGAACATTTCTCAATAATACTTTGATGGTATCTTCCTGGATTTTTCGGCTAGCCGAATAAGCGCTTGCGCCTTAAGTCCGTAATGTCCATTGCGTGTCCATTTTTTCGCTTTTCATTCCCTTTTCACTAGAGCCTAAAATCTCTTGATTGCCCGGAGCTCAAGGAAATTGGGTGTTCTTAAAGGCGATTAAGAGTTTTATTTTCAGTCTGTTATCTTTTTATGCTGTGATTACTCCTTTAAGTGGTGTTGTTCTGATTTCCTTTTAATGTCCTATTAATGAGTTTTTTCTTTCTTTTTAGTAAATTAAGATGAAATTAGTGATCTTAGACACAGCAGACTCAGTGGGAGTTTGGGCTGCCAAATATGTGATGAAACGTATAAATGATTTTAAGCCCGGACCAAACAAGTGAGTAGCGAATTCCAATTTTTTTTTGTAACATTTTATTTCGAAATAATTTCGCAAATTATTTCAAAAGATCAATTTTTACTCTTAAAATGTTTCCTTTTGGATTGAAATGAACCAGCGTAGTTAGTTGAACTATTCATAACAATTTCGCCCTTTTTTATTTTTTTCTCATAGATACTTTGTTTTGGGTTTACCCACCGGCAGCACACCACTTGGAATGTACAAGAAACTCATTGAATATCACAAAGCCGGAAAGGTGTCTTTCGAGTATGTGAAGACATTCAACATGGACGAATATGTGGGTACGTATTTATGTTTCAGCTGAAATAACATTGATAGTGTACCTCATTATATCCACATTCATTCTTGAAGGCATACCCCGCGATCATCCTGAAAGCTATCACTACTTCATGTGGCATCACTTCTTCAAACACATCAATATCGATCCCAAGAATGTGCATATTTTGAATGGCAATGCCAAGGATCTTCTAGCCGAATGCCAACAATTCGAGGCGATGATCAAGGAAGCGGGTGGTGTTGAACTTTTCATTGGCGGCATTGGACCCGACGGACATATCGCCTTCAATGAACCGGGCAGCTCGTTGGTCTCACGTACGCGTGTGAAAACATTGGCACAAGATACATTAGAGGCGAATGCACGCTTCTTTGACAATGATATGAGCAAAGTGCCCAAGCAGGCATTGACTGTGGGCGTCGGCACAGTGATGGATGCCAAGGAGGTGATGATTTTGATTACAGGCGCACACAAAGCATTTGCCTTGTACAAAGCTATTGAGGAGGGTGTAAATCATATGTGGACTGTAAGCGCATTCCAGCAGCATCCCAATACGCTGATGCTTTGCGATGAAGATGCCACTTTGGAGTTGCGTGTGAAGACAGTGAAATATTTTAAGGTAAGGGGAAAATTTAAAAGTATTTTTTTCGTATATTTTGTGTTTATCAATTTGCTGGATTTATGAAATATTTTATACACTTGTAAATACTATGTACATATGTATATACTGGTGTTATTATAGAATGACTCATCCGCACTGATCTCAAGCATCTTTAGCTCTTAGTTTCATATGTGTCGAAAAGTACACGACCTCATCCTATTTGAAAAAGCTTAAAAAGGGACAAATAGTTTGGTGATGGCGAATTTTTTTAAAACACTTGGTGTCTGGTACTTAATATGTAAGATGTTCAAGCATGTTTTTTAAAGAAAGAAACAATTTTTTGTAATTTCATTTGGTAGTAATTTAGACTCAATAAAAATACTAAATACTTTTGAGTAAAATGTGCGGCTTTTAGTAATATTTAAAATAATTGCAAATAATATCTAATAGCTTGTTTTAATGGTTTCTTGTTCCAAAATTCTTTGAAAAATATTTAAAAAATATTCTCGTATCTTTGTCTTTATTTCCGTAAAATACCAGGGCATCCTCAGAGATGTACACGAAAAAATGATTGGAGATGAAGCTGAGACAAGCGAAAATTAAATTGCTAAATTTTGCTTAATTTTGAAGTGTACGTATTTTCAAAATAATACACATTTTGTAAACTTTATAAGCGATTTAAGTATTCGAGAATAGATTTAAGGCTTATTGTATGTATGTACATACATGTTACATGTAATTGAAGTTGATTATGCATTTCTCTGAGAGTGCGAGACATTCGCATTACTGGCGTCTCAAGGAATTTGGCTCTTCTTCGTTTATACAGCTTCTGCAGAAGACATTATGGAGAACCCGTCTCACTTAGGATCTGAGGTAGTGTGTTTTTTTCGCTAGCCCCCCCTGACTAAAGTTCTCTATCTCGAATAGAAATTGCATACCTTTTTGCAAAGCTTAATCGTGATACACAATAGTCCGATTTTAGCTGTGCAAAACGGAATTTCTGTAAAAATTATCGAATCAGCGATTATCGAATTATCAGCGGATATAAAAACTCTGCCCAATATTAAGACTTATAAAGGATTCTCATTTTCGTTGTTGGTGTTTCCGACAGGGTAGGAATATGATATGCTGTGCAATGATTTTCCGTCATCCCGTCAAATTCGGCTTGGAGACAGAATGAAAAATTACACTAAGATGGCATAACACCCAACCCGGTTTGTCTCCAAACGGACGGAAAATCATTCCAAAATATATTATATAAAAAACCTATTACCTCATCACATAATTGAAAACCATAAATGCTGAAAATGAGGATTGAGATAAGAGCTTTGAAGTTTGTATTTTTCCTGTTTTGAATAAATATTAGGGTATTCACAAAATGTCGTAAGCATCGTAATGTCTTAAAGTTGTATACATACATTTCCAATGTAATGGGTGAAATAGTTTTAAGTGATTCGTAGGTATAATAATTACATATACATATATTTTCTATCCCTTTAAAAAGAATTTAGCGTAGTTACAAACATGATCGACTTGGTTTCTCGTTTTTCGATCTGGAGACAGCCACGTAGCTTGATGGATCTTTTTATGCTGGAGCATAGTAATACATAATACCATGTTTCGAATCCCGGCGAAGGCGATCAGCCCCAAATTGTTATCGGAAATTCCGTTGTGGGGGCTGAATTTTCGGACAGTGGCGCCAAAGATCCTTTCCTTGACCACCTTGGGCATTTGGTATCCACATCAGTGTGTTTTGAAATTTTTTGGTTTTTGTTGCACGGTGTAATCATATCCAAACTGTATGAATTTGTTTGACTAATATTATTTCTGCAACTTTCTCAATTTTCAACTGATTTTGGACTTAGATAGCTTTCTAGATAGGAAATATCAATAGAAATTAGGCGTTATAGTAAACTAATTGAAAAAGTTTCGTTTTATGGGATGGGGAGTAACACAACCTAGGTGGATCGCCAGTTGGAGAAGGTTGGGAGCCACTGTCTTATTGTATTGAGCTCACATCTTGCGCTTCAAGCAGTCAAAACAGATTTTAATAGATAGGGTTAGTCAAAAGATACAAGCATATATTTAAATCAAAAGAATATGTGTGATATATAGGAATAACCTTTCGCAAATAGAAATTAAGCCATTAATTTTTGTTGTTTTGTTTATTTAATAAGATTTGTGATATAAAAAACTCCGTAACTAAACCTTTTAATTTTTTTTTCCTACAGGGTCTTATGGAACTGCATGGTAAAATGGTGGAAGGTGTCTGAAGGATTATATCGTTTTGATACAAAATTTTTTATATGTATGTACATTTCGGATACAAATTACCTCAACGAAATAAAATTTAGTTATTTAGTACGAAATTAATGTTGATATTGCATTTGTTCTAATTAAAAATAAACAAATAATAAAAGACACACATATTATGTGGAATATAAATGTTAAGAAAATTATTTGAAAATATGTAGGTACATATAAGAATGCACAGAATAGCGTTAAATGAAAATTTAGCAGCAAAAGCAAACAATTAAGAAATAAGTGCTGAAGCTGGTTAATGTATAATGTTGCCATATTCACAGTTTTACCTGTAAATTACAGTTTTTTAGACAGTATTTTAGTTTTGTAAATAGCTTCCTAGTACGAACTACGGTTTTTTTCAGATTTGTACAAAACTTAAATTAAAATATATCTTTTGGTTTTTAGAAGTAAATGTTTGAGTGCGATGGAGTTGCAGTATTTCCTCTTTAGAGAAAAAACCGGGTCAGCTGCATGAATAAATTGTTATTTTTCTAAAAATTCCTTAATTTTTTTTAAGTTTACATTGTCTTTTTTTAATAAAGTATTAATAAAGTAAAAAAAATTCTGTGAGTGAAACAAATCTATCACTGCACGTCTGAAAGCATTCAACACAGCGAGTTTACTCACCGAGCTTGCGTGGTCCAGTGGAGGTGAAATTAGTTCAATTGGGTCATAAGGTTACGGCGATTGTTTCTTTGTTGTATTAAGAGAACTCGGCATTATTTGACGAAGAAAAAAGTGCTTATTTATCAAATTAACGCACCGACTCACACTTTGGAGCGTAGTTAATGGGGGGTTGTCGCCTTGAACAAACATTTTTCTGAACAAAATTTTTTACTGGAATCCGTAATAAAATTTACCTTTCTTCAAAAACAGGGTTTTTTTGCTAATTTTATGATCTAAAAAATTATATCTGAAAATGACAGGTATGATCGAAAAATCAAAAATTAAAATTTGGCGCGAAAAAATTAAACGCAACTTTAACATTTATTCTTGATCTAAAATATAAAAAATTACTACCACAACCGGCCAACTCCGTCCTGCGAAGAGTTAATTTTTCTTTTTAAAACACTTTGGGTCATCATTTTCACCAGCAATTCACGATTTCCAGAGGCATATTTATATCATAAGAACGCATATATCGTCAGAACGCATATTTCCATTGCCGTCTTAAATAACCTAACGAAAGTGTTAAGTCCGTTAAGAAGTGCTTGAAGTTCTCTAATTATCTGGCGTTCACAGCACTGTTAATCCCACAACGAAATAAATTTGACGAACGTTTTCCTCTTCACTCCTTGGCGGCAACAATGATCCGTTTCGATGGTGAATCGTTCTCACGTAACGATTTTTAGTAATATCTCGACATCAGCGCCTCTTTTTTGCAGTAGTGTTGCCCTTACCGTTACCAATACATATCTCAAACGTGAACCAAATCGGGTCGCCTCCTTTAAATATCGTTTTCTTTAGCCTGTAACCATCCAACGGTTAAATGATGATCTTTAACACTTTCAGGACCATAAACCTAATTAAAAAAGTTTGAATTTCAAATTGCGATGCCAAAAAAAGGCTGATGCAAATGTAGTGGTCGTTCACATTTTTCTTTAAAAAAATACTTATTGTCCTAAATATATATATTTTTTAAAGTTTAGACCGAAATTAAAAAATTTAATTTTTTTTCTTAAAAATAAAAAATTTCCGGAAAATAATTTTTTGCAATATTTGTTAAGATTTTTGTAAATTTTGATAAAAAACAGTCACAAAAGATATATTTATTACAAAATCATTAACAAATTTTAAAGATATATTTTTCTCAAAAAAATTTATATGGATATATTATTTATCATTTTCTCAAAAATATTATCTACTATTAAAACTTAACTAATCTTATTTTAGGGACGAAATTGATTCTCAAAAAATTATTCCTACTAAAAAATATTGATTACCCATTTTTTTTTCATGTATTTAACCCAAATGAAAATACAAAATTTTTGTATACATATAGATTTTATTAGTTTTTTGCTATTTATTGGCCTAATGAAAAATTATATTCAATAATTTATTGAGCTTGAGGCTGTTTTTTATGAAAAATTATTGTGAAAAAACAACAATAGTTAACAAATGGTGAACTCAAGCTTAATAAAATTGTTTAGTATATTTATTCTTAAATTTTTATTCTCAAATCCTCAAAATCCTTATTTCTTTAAAAAGGAAAAAATTAAAAATGTTATTGTGTACATACATACATATGTATATACACATTAAATCGAAGTAAACTTGAAATTCCTAGCTGTTCTCAAAACAAATTTACCTATTCCAAGATAGACTTTATTTCTTTAAAAAAAGAACCAAAAATTTTGTTTCCCAAAACAAAGTTTACTTTTTAATGTCTCGTAATTTTTTCTAATTTTCGCAATATATTTTTTTCATGGAAATCGTTTTTTTTTTAATTCTTAGTTTTTAATAGTTCTGATAAAAAATCAGATTTTTTCTTAAAATTAGTTTTCCTAAAATCCCTACAGTTTTTTTCCCAAGAAAATTAGGGAAATATTATTTACAGTATTTTTGGTATTTTTGTTTTTGTGTTTCTTAAAATTATTAGTTAAAATTATGAAAACGTAAATACAGAACCGCCAAAATGCACACTATGGGTATTTATGGAAACTCGCAAATGCCTCCTAACCGCGTAACCCTCGTAAATTATTCGATTTTTCTTACCAAAATAAGTAAGATTACGGGGTTTACATGGTTACGAGGCATTTAAGCGTTTTGATGAATTACCCTACTAAATACATTCTTATGAATACAGGACTTTTTGGGAAACATGTTTCCCTTGATAGTGAAGGGGTTAATATAAAGTCTCTTCTATAAACACATCTTTCAAATCCTTTCCAATATATAATCTGGCTAAGGTCGAGAAGGCTAGCACTTGCACCTAAAAGACAGAACCGACTACGCAGGCATAAGCGACATTCAGGCGGACAATTGTACGGTATAGAGGGTTCTTTAGTCCCAAATTGCTCTGTTGCCTTGGTAAGAGATTTGTCTTGAAGCAAATTCCAATTTAGTCTCTTATCAATAGACTGCAGAAAACGGAGCATGAAAATCATGTCCACTTATCAAGGGTATTTCCAAGATATTTAACTTTTTCAGATTTTTGAAGCACTGTCCTTCAAGGGCAAATGAATCAATGCTCTCCCTATATTTTCTTGCGAACGGAACAAGAATAGCTTTTAGTTAAGGCTGACCCTCTCATCGGCTCACCAATTTAATACCAGCTGTACTCATAACGTCTCAGACAGGACTGAATCAAGGCTATATATATATATATAACTAAGCCACCCGTTTCTTTCTTCAAAATATTATTTTTTTATTTTTTAAATAATTGCCACTTATTGCATTTAACTCAAATTTAAAGCAATTCTGTAATTCTACTTCCTACATATCAATTGCTGCTATTTACTGGCAGCAACCCGATACGTTTTTATTCAGCGGTTAATGTTGCCTAGTTCCTGTAGCGAATTGTGCAAAGTGCAACGCTCCCAAGAAAGGGGCAACACGGAGTTACGCGATTAATGTTGTTTACCAACATTGCATCATTTCACCTGATTCGCGGTGAACAAGCGGACTGTAAGCTGGTCTGGAGTATGCTCAGCAAAACAAAAGTGCATAAAATTTAAGAGAGTGAGAGATAGGGGAGTGGGGGAGGGAGATTGCGAAAAAAGCTATAGAAAAGCAGAAACATCATTAAAACGCTCCACTTTGTTTGACCATTGAATAATTAAATTGTAAATCCCAATGGATAGCAAAGTGATCAATGTGTATGTATATATCTATGTATGTACATTTGTATGATCGCAAAGTAGTACATTAATATTCACTTAGGGCCGTTTTCTCATCCAACCTTCAGTTTACCGGCCACTTTATCGTCTCGATATACGAGTTTTCGTTTTCTCATCAGCGCATTAATTTCTCGAATCGATAAACTGTTGCTCACCCGATGCAACCTTTAAGATTTGTACCCAACTTTAAATTTTGGTTTGGTTTTGGTTCATGAGCCAGATATATTAGATATTTCAACCAAGGTTTTGGTTTTTGCTAACAGTTGCTCTTGCTCTATATTTGCTTACGTTGCATTGCCAACCTTTGAAATTTTATGACGAATGTAGTGAAGTTTCACTCTCGGAAATGTAGTGAAGTTTCACTCTACGGAATAACAAATTTATTTTTACCTGCAAGGTAAGAAAACGAAAACACTTTAAATTGAGGAACAATTTATCTGCCCTGTTAGTAAAGGCAACTTTGCTGCTTACATTAGAAAATGGCCCTTAGTATATTAGACCTTTCCACCTACTTATCTAACAAAAAATATTGTCGTACACTCCTGAGTTTAACAACACAATTTGGAAAAAAATATATTTTTTTTCTGGACGAAACTACATTTGTTGCTGACAGCTACATACATGCGACAAAAAAAATTATTTTGAGCGCGTGTGAATCGGTAACAAAGTGAATAAAATTTCAGTACCTCATGAGGCTAGTGAAATTTTTGACAAATGCATAGAAACATTTGTATATCGCAAAGATTGTTCATGATTACACACACTTTTTGTTAAATAAAAGCTTAAATTTATGAATTGCAATCAACGATGGTAGATGTTTTCGTAAAATATTAATTTAAAATCTGTGGTTATCAAAAATTTACTGCTCTCAAAAAATATTTCATTTCACACAGCAGATTGGCAAAACTGTCTCACCATAGTAGAAATATTATTCAACAGCTTTCCCCATAGAACTTTGTTACCGATTGCCACACGCCCTTTAAAATAGTTCCATCGGAAAAATTAAAATACTTATTTAGGAGAAGTTTATTTACTTTTGGTGAACCTTAATTTACTGACAGTAGGTGATAAGAACTGAGAACAGAGGGTCAGTTCTCGTTCTGCGTGATTGCGAAGTGATAAAAATAACACTTTTACACCGCATTTATTTCGGTGTTAATTTTATACTTTTCACTTCACTTTACGATAACGCAGAACGGGAATTGACCCTCAGCTGGGCAAGTTCTAGAACGGGGTACTTAAGGTCAATGAACTTTGGAACAAACAAATTCTGTAATAGAGA